TGATGCAAGTTATGTTGGCCAAACTAAGAGACAATTAAAAACAAGAATACATGAACATTCTTCGGATATTAATAAAACTTCTAAATCTCCATCTATAATATCTAATCATAGAATAGAAGCAAATCATGATTTTAATTGGAGCAATGTTAAAATTTTAGATATGGAACCGTCTTATAATAAAAGATTGATATCCGAAATGGTTCATATAAAGAAACAAACACATGGCATAAATAAACAAAATGATACCGAGTCATTGCCAGATTGTTATACTAACATGATACATTTTCTTTCCACTTCTTAATTTTTCCCTTTCTCTGTCCTTTCCTGAGGTCTCTGCCTACTCATTTCTTATTTTTATTTCAAGTAGTACAGTCGATTTTTATAACTGTAAATTAGACTATTTTATTTATTTATTTATTTAATTTCAATAATGGATCTTAACATACTGGATTTTTATACTGGACTATACATTTTTTATTACATTTCTGTTAAGGTAACAATATACAATTTACTTCTTCATAATTAAGTTTTTAAATTTATATACTTTTTTGTCAATAGATTTATATAACTCATGCGAAATTAATCACAAAGGAAGATCCATATTCAATTATACGCATTTAATTTTATATTTGCGACTCGTTAATTATTCAATTATACACATTTAATTTTATATTCGTGACTCGTTAATTTTATTATAATTATACACATGTAATTTTATTATTGTTGATTCTTTAATGCTATTATACACACTTAATTTTAAATTTAACATTGAAAATGACCCGATCGGTGTCGAAACGTATGCGAATTTTACCTACTAATTTTACTGTTTGCGAATTTTACTTGCGAATTTTACTCTGTTCGATTTTAATGTATTATGATTTAAATTCATTATATTTATAATTTTTAAGAAAACTATTTGGCTCTTTTCTCTTATTTTCAACTTATTTGTTTTATACTTGTTGAGCCTTCTATTAATTTATTTTATTTAATTTTATTTAATATATCTTTTTAACAAATACTAAAATCTTTTTAAGACCGTACAATTGATACACAATAATAAACAAGAAGAAGGAAGCACGAAGCAAAGCCAATAACGGTCAAAGCTGGATCACAATGCTTATTATAATTATGTGTGAATTTTATATACTGCGTATGTAGTTCCCCTATCGCGTGCCGAAATTTTTTCCAGACTTACAACGCAACTCTAAACAACTACCGCGGTAGTTTCATAGTCGGTTCTTATTTCAAGACTGTCTTAAGTATGTCTTAAGATGCTAAAACGGTCCTCTGATTGGTTCGTAACTCTTCAAAACTGAACGTAAGACGGTCTTGAATATAAGAACTGACTATGAATATCGGCCATAGTATAATTTATTTTTTATTAATGCTCAATTTTAGAAAGCGTTTTAGTATATCATGGCGAACAGAACAGTTCTTATAATGATGGCTGATTTAATGTTTTCTTCCAAATTTCGATCTGTAGGTCGAATTTTCTTATTGCTAAGACTAAATGCCTAACTTTGAGAGCAAATTAGGGAATTTTTACTTCAAAATCGTTGACTTTGATGTCATCTTGTCGATCATTAAGGCATTCTGACTAACAAGTCTTTTCCTATTTATAATAATATTTTAAGAATTTCCCTATTTATTATAAGTTAAATTGAGTGAGAGAATACGTACGAAATTGTATGCACGTAAACTCCAACCTTAATTCTTTTTCACGTAACACGTAACACGTAACCTGCGCACTCGTAGTGCCACAAGGAAGTCTCGCTCAAAAGGCCCCCTCGCTAAGAACCGCCGGAGTCCGCGGCCCCGTCAGCCCGATATCGCGCGACGCCGCCGCTTCCCTCCGCTCAGCCCGCCACAGATAATCATGCCGCGACGCGCTACACAGAACCTTCGTACTCTCCCGTCCCTCTTCTAGATTTCTCCCTAGACCTTACCACATTTCCGCTCTTAACGCCTCGATTCCCCCTCGATTTCGCTTCTCCCGATGAACGAACGGTTCCCTCCCATCTCCCTTGATGACATTCCCACTCCCCCCCCCCTCCTTGAACTCCCCCCCCCCCCCCTCCGCTCTTTAAACCCAATTTACCTCCCCCCAATACCACCTCTTCCTCCTCATAAACCCTTTTCCCACCAGAGCAGGTAACCCGTAGTGTACCTCCCTGAAGTGACCACCCCCTTTTTAGCTCCTTTGAGCACCCTTCGACCCCTATTCCCCTGTTCCTGCCGCCATAATCCTCCTAATTCCTCTCCCGCTCCCTCTTCTTCCGTCCATTAAAACACATCACACACAATTATATGTATATACAATACACACATACGATATTTTCATTATTGTTAATTTATTTACTTTTAGTCTGTTTCCGTTCATTTGTAATGTTGCTTTCCTCTTTTTATAATTAATAAACATTTAAGATTACCCTTTAAATGTAAACCCGCTTAATTTTTACTTAACCCCTTCTCGTATTGATTCCTCACTTCCCGTTAACCTCATAGATCGCACAGGCCCACTCCCAGGTCATAGGGATTAAGTTCCCTGATCTAAAATGAAAGGACCGACGTTCGTGCCGCTCACGGAAAAGGGCGTCATAGTGTCTCTTTCGGGACACTGATCGATTTTCCAGAGCATTTAAAGATACGATCGACTCGCAGGACACTCCACAGGGTGTGTACCTGCGAGAGCCCGAATTCGGTGGCGCTCCTCCATTGCCCCTTCCGAAATTTGGGGATCAAGCGTGACCGAACCTTGGGTAGAGTTCGTTGCGCCCTTCCGCGCAGCTCCTCCCGGAATCGGAGCTTGGACGTAACAAAGTCATTTTCCGTAGTAATCTCAACTTCGTAGTTAATTTCCAGCAACCATAAGGTTAATTTTGCGCCTTAGATATTCCCTATCCTATTAGTCAAGTTAAACACAAATGATTTACCATATATACAGTAAAAATTAAGTAATTTTAACCAATCAAGTCATGTCGCTTATAAGGTTGAAATTAGTGATACAATCAAGTCACATTTCCTTCAAATTTTGACTTATAATAAGTTAAATCGACTTTGAAGATATAGCTTTGGTCAAAATTTAGTCATTTTATAAGCTAATCACTAATGTATAACTTTGAAGTCATTGAACTTTGAAAAGGCATTTCATAGGTTTAAACTTTGTAATTTTCGATCTGTACAGAATACTTCAAACAATATTTCGACTTCTAAGATGTTTTTTTATGTCAAAAATTGGTAATTTTTTACTTAATTAGGGCGATCTGACTTTTGATTTGGTCAAGATGCCCTGCTTTGTTACTTACTAATATTTCGATCTATAAAGAGATGACGAGCGTCCACGTCAATTTATGTAATTTTTCTCTCTCTGTTTTATATTATGTAATTTTTTTTTTCATCTATTTCTTAATAGTTATAACATTAATTATCCGTATATGCGTCTTTTTCTTAACCGTTAAATAATTTATACATAAGCATTGATAATGATCCGATAGGGATCGAAACGTTTTGTTTATTTTGTTTCATATTATGTTTTCACTGTTTAATTTGTTTTTCTTATAATATGTTATTAAATTCGTATATATAAATTGATTTTGTTTTACTTTCATGGCTCGTAGTCCTATTACGTTTTGATATTTTTAATATTTCTATTTTTTTAATATAAATTTTTACGCTTACAAAACCTAACGATACTTAATATTATCTACGTATAACAATTTGTACGTATACGTAGTATTATTTGTATGTAATTTATAAAGATTGATTAAAAATTCAAGTAAAAAATTCAAGGATATGATGCAAATATAACAATTTATAAAGATGAATGTCACATACATAAAAACTTGATAAAAATTACTTATATACATATATTGATATATTAATTATAATAATATTAAGGTG